GTGTATAAGAGAAAGTATATATATATATACCTAATACTATAGGGCCCTCGTCGGGGAAAGCTCCCCCACCTCCTCGTCAAGGAGAAAAAGCACAATTCGTCGGGAAGAAACAAATGTATTTTCTACATATTAGTAGAGTCTAATATCGATTAAATAACCCTTAAAATTTTGTCAAAATTTATAAACTGTCGAAACCTTTTAATCGAATCCCGACCGCACCCACTTTGCTTTCGTCGGGGCAATCTGACCGTCATCTCGGGCATCGACCCCCAGCCGGGGACCTTGGCCCTCCCCTCCCCCTCCCCCCGTTGGGAAAATCCTTGCGCCACTGTGGGCGTACCATATACGAAATATCATTTTGAGGGAACGAAATAGTATTTTGAGGGAACGAAATAGTATTTCGAGGGAACGAAATATTATTTCGATGGAACGAAATAATATTTCGAGGGAACGAAATAATATTATAACATGGGAACTTTCATATGTTAATGAGGTCAAAGGTGAACATACAAATGTGAATAGCCATCTGAGGTCAACTTGTAAATGTTTGGTTTTTCATTTGTCCTGATATCCGTAGTTCCGGCATACGTACGAGGACATGGCTTGGTAGGTGGGAACTTTCATATGTTTTTGAGGCCAAAGGTCACATATCAAGATAAAAGGTGATCTAAGGTCACGTTTTAAAATGATTCCGGCTACATTGTTTAATCTGCTGTTATCCGTTTTGATGAAAAATAAATACAGAGAAAGTACACTCCCTGTTGACTATGTGGTGCATTACGCAGCAAAAGTTAAAAAACGTTAAAATCAAAATGTAATTGCAAAATCCAATGACTAATTTATCCACACGTAGGGGTAGATTTCTCAAAATCTAGTTTTCCAAAATGAAGTTCTAATTTTTCAAAACGTAGATCAAATTTTCCAAAATGTAGTTCTAATTTATTGTGTTTAATGTAATGTAATTCAAATTCAAAACGTAGGTCTGACTTGATCTCCAATTCTGTTCCAAAACGTAAATCAAAAACCAGCCAAGCATGACTCTTTTGAAATACATTTTACAACACTAGACACGCGAAACTGTCAGATTGAATAGATTTCATAGGTAGGGTGAATTGACTCTAGTGATTACAGTAAGAGGCATTGCCGATTTACCTCACCAGCGGTATTATACCATTTTACTGATTTAAATTGTTAGTTACCATGAAAATTATAGGCCCTATTAATTTATTTTAAAAAAGGGTGACGCGGTATTCTTCATGGGCGTATGTCTGAAGTCTGATAAACTTGAGTGAGGCACCGGCCTAGGCTATTATGTAAAAAAAAAAAAAAAGTCGCTATAGTATATTTCTCTTCAATACTTACTGATATGTGATTTAAAGGGGGAAATCAACAAAGTAAGTGACGGCGCATATCGCAAATAAGCGAACACCTAAGTTTGTGTAAAGCTCTGTGATAGCGGCATCAGGCCCTATTTCGCCTCAAATTATTATTGCTAGCGCACATTATTGCGATTAACGGGCCAGCACGTGACGCTTGAATAAATCACAAAAGCGATATTTTGATTAATGGTCAGGTAATGTTGCTTTTATTATTTTTATGAATTCGTTTACATGTACATCATTCCTAACATGATCAATAACTTTATCATAAGTAATTTGCATCAGTGGCGTACTAGAAATGTACTGACAATATTCTCTAATGAAAATAATGTTTTATTGTTATTTCCATAAACCTTCATATTGATTTATATGTGCATGTGAACTTGCTCTTAAGAAATTACTGATAATTAAAATTATTGTAACTTGATGCCTAGGCTACATATGAATTCATTTACAAAGCATACAAGTTTAATAAGGACTACTCGAGCTAACTGTGATCTCTGCGAAGGGGTGAAAACATTAAAATTTGCAGAAGTTATTTTGTAGTATAGGCCTATATTAGCACACATAAACTACATACAAAAAATTTGGTTTTCTGTTTTATCCTAGCAAATCACTGCTAGTCCTTTTAATGCACATTTCAATACTACTCCGCCCCATGGGGAAGATGAGAAAATGATGGGGTATGAAATATTACTGAATTCCACGTCTCCTGGGGGCTCACACTCGGTGTTATGTTCCCACTCAAAAGGGCAACAAATCTAAAACCCCGGTTAAACTATTTTCCATCTGGATGGGGAAGTATAGTATGGACATCAACAGTACAATTAAACAATTTATGATAAGCCAAAGCAATTTTTAACATTATTATCTTTTAAAAAAAAAGCCACTGTATGCACAACAGTTTGTAATTATGTCATCGATCTACTACCGACGCTCTTAATAAAAGGGCATTTTCTTGACGGTTTCTAGTTGGTCATTTAAATCGTCGATATCCGCTTGTTTTACCGGCACGCTCTTCAGTAGTGGTATTTTAGAATTATTCTCAACAACAAACTTAAATAAGTTATCAAAGCTTGTTACGAAGGCTTCAGAAGCATTCAACAATGCCGAAATATCCTCAGCATTCGGGACGCTCCATTCAACATTTCCTTCGATCTTTTTCTGTAAGGGTTTGGCTACCTTGAAGGCTTGGTCCACAGCCTATAATATACAATTGTTGAATTCAGTTAGAGTTATGTAGGCATATATATAAGCAATAAAACAAAAATTTGTTATAATGTATGAAATGTCGACGAGCCATCAAATATATTAAGGAGCGTTTATTTTATTTTATGCATGATGTTTTTTGCACTTCCACTGCAGGTAGATTGTGTCAGAGTAAAGTAATTTATTTTCCTTTAATGTTAATATATAGTTATTTCAAAATACTAGGTAACACTAGTATGACATTTTATGGGACTGAACCCGAAGTTATGAGCATGTTCACATTCTCACCACACGCACACACCTCCACACCTGTCTCTTATACACATCTAGATGTGTATAAGAGACAGAGCCGCAGGAGGCATATATATAAGCAATAAAACAAAAATTTGTTATAATGTATGAAATGTCGACGAGCCATCAAATATAATAAGGAGCGTTTATTTTATTTTATGTATGATGTTTTTTGCACTTCCACTGCAGGTAGATTGTGTCAGTAAAGTAATTTATTTTCCTTTAATGTTAATATATAGTTATTTCAAAATACTAGGTAACACTAGTATGACATTTTATGGGACTGAACCCGAAGTTATGAGCATGTCCACATTCTCACCACACGCACACACCTCCACACCCCACACTCAACCCCCACTGCAACAATCACAGGTGCCGTAAGTTAGGTAGTTTGTTAGGACCATTATCATTTTCCTGGATAGTGTGTGCAAACACGCAGATTTATAACGGCGCAATAACAAAAACCCAAAACCAACCGAAACTGTCACTAATGTAAAAAAATTATTACTTGATATTATTTAATTAACCTTACATCTGAAATTGGATCCATATATTTGAAGAAAACGGATGCTACTGGAATTTCAACGCCATCTAAATTGATAGTATCATGTTTGTGCTGCTCTATCCAATCTTTGATATTGTTACACATCGTAGTTTCAGTTTGGATGATAGTCGTAATCGCCTTAACTACTGCCAACTTGTTCTTGTTGGATTCCGTTTCCCCGCCACTACCTCCTTTCTTGATCAGCTTTGACAAGGTGACATTCACGCCATAAAATATGGTGCCAATTGCAACATTCTTAACAACAAACTTTGCAAATTCCTTAGCAGGCCCCTCGGCGAATTCTGTAGCATATCCTTTGAATTTTTTTGCAACTTCGGCTAATTTTTCCACGTTACTTTTCACTTCTTTAACTTCCTTATCGAGCTCTTCTCTGTCCTCCTCAGTCATATCTTCTTCGCCAGTTTTTTCCCCTTCACCTTCAAGTGCCTCTTGTCCTTGCTCAATCATTTCTATTGCCTCTCCCGTTTCCGCCATAATGTACTACAGCAAAAATACATGGAAGGAATATGAAAAGTGTTCTGCAAAATTCTATATATATAAGATTGTATATAATAAGATTTTCTAGCCGTAAACTGAACGCGCTACTGAAAGAGTAAAGCCCTAACATAAATGTAAATAAAGCACGAAATCATACAAATTAAAATATGCATTGAGTAAGTAGGAATTAGTTGTCAACATGGTTAAATTAAGTTGAATGGCGAAAAGGGTTATCATGACATGAAGCGATGTCTGTATTTTACATTTAATACTCTACCTCAAAATTAGTATTGTATTTTATCGTGTTAAATATGCATAATATTTTTTTGTAAATTTAAATCTAATATTAAGTTTATATTTTAAACCAACATAGAACAGGCGAAATTGAATGTTGCATTGTTTGTCGTTAAGCTCTGCCTAGGTTCCATGGAAGGATTCAATAATAGCGCCTATAAACAAAGTATCTATTGTTGAATATCGGTTAGATGTTGTCGTGACTTTTAATGAGTAGTATGCACAGTTCCTTTTAGTTCACTGCAAACTTTTATTCACACAAACTGTACGTTGGTTACAATCAGCTAAACTCCAGGTTTCAGATGTTAGAGAACCCTTTTAGAGTGGAGTCAGCTCAGCCCTGTACTTTTCTTCTGTGTTGAATCTAACTACTGACTACTGATCACTGACTACTGATTACTACTGGCTCAGTGATATGGGGTGTTTGCCTATTATACTTTAGGTAATGGGGGTGTGTCTCAAGTAAGTCACCCCATAATTTAGAGTTTCTGATAGGATCATAGAGAAATTCTTTCTCTATGATTTAGTAACTTGTTTACCAAAAAACTGCTAATTAAGATGTATCACAAACTTCAGAGCTTAGGCTCAAAAACTGACAATCATAAATTCATAGTGTGAGAAAGGCCAAGTCCAACTGACTAGGGTAAAGTTATACAATGTCCAGTTATATTATTAGATTATCTGTATACTCAAGTTGACCATTAAAACTGTCAAATCAATTTAAGGCATTTATCAGGTGAAGGGTATCGATTCCAATGGTTATGCAAGTTAATACCATTGATACTACTTAATACTACATTACACTATAGTCGGAAATATTAAATGATTACCGTCCTGTTGCTCTAACCCAAATTATCACTAAGTGCTTTGAGAAGTCATTTAAAGATGTATTGATGATTAAAGAACCTTTTTTGCTGATAATAATTTTGTTGATTGTTCTTTAATTTTGGATAAACAAATAATGGAATAATAAGTATTTTTCTAAAAAAAAACCTGCTGCAAGCATTCTCTGGATTCTAACAAAAAAAAACCCCTTATAAATAACATTCATAGAAATAACATACCTAGATGGTGTAAATATATAACATAAACACTAATAATTGATTGAATCCTTATATTACGGTAGTTATGGTTGGCCGTCGACTCCAATGCAGTCATCCGTCCGAAGGAAGGATATATAATATGTATGTATATTATGTATAATATAAATCATTAAAGGTACATATACAGTGTTTAAATAAGGACATGATGGAACATCGTAGGC